ATGTTTGAATAATGAGTGTGAAAAAAAAAAGTTTCAAATAACTTACATCTTTTTCGATTATACATAAACATTTATTGTTTTGCATCCAAGTGTATTCTCCATCTTCCTTCAAGTTCTATGTAATTATGTAACTCCTATTATCCAAATCACTCCAAACACCTAGATAAACAAAAAAGACCAAAAAGAAGAACAAATACACTTCACAACTCCTAAAATGCAACAAGACTACAAGACACATTAAGGGTTTTTTTTGTTTGTGTGCAACACATCATTTTTCATTAACTTAAATGTCGATCTTACATCTGTTTATACCATAATACATGAAAGCATTAAAACTTAAAAAAGAAGAAACAAGATAATTAAATGACAGCAAATCAAAAAAATTTCTTGATGCGTCAGTATAAAGCTCACGGCTAAGCCGGAAAACATAATTTTTATCACATTGAGCCGTGACGTTGAAAGACTACCTATATCTCCGATTGCATCTTCAAGCCCGGTATAAACTGTTACACAAGAATACAAAATGGTTAGGAAAAAATTCGGGTTTGATTCCGAGAAGGATCTTACTCTCAAAGAGAGAAGAAAATGTGGACAAGTTCTCTCCCACAGGGAGGAATATACAGGATTTGAGAATCCAGAAAATTTTGGTCTTCTCTCAATAGAAGGGATATCATGATCAATAAAAACTACATGATTTGAGAATTTAGAAAATTTTGTTCTTCTCCAAAAAGAGAAGAGATCGAGCTCACCCAAAAACTTGGAATTGAATAATAGGCTCGTTAATTGACCCAAAACACACTCATGGGCCAGGCCCAACCCCTGCCAAAATCGTGCTTGGACACTAATTGTATTGATGACAGACATGATGTGCAGTGGTGAGGCTTCTCCGGTGAAGACAACTGTGGTGATATCGCCGGCAAAGGATTCTCTAACAAAGAACAAAGGAAATTTGGAAGGACGAGCGGTGTGAGTAACGGAGAGATTCACCGCAAGAGACGAACTCACCGATGGAGAACAAATAGCCAATATCGGAGCAGCAGACGAGAAACTCCGA